CAAACTGTAACCTGAACACAACAAACAAACAAACTGTAACCTGAACACAACAAACAAACAACAAACAAACTGTAACCTGAACACAACAAACAACACGGAACCTGAACACAACAAACAAACAACACGGAACCTGAACACAACACACAACAAACAACAAACAACAAACAACACGGAACCTGAACACAACAAACAACACGGTCGAATACCTTCTCCAAGTCCACAAAACACATGTAGACTGGATGGGCAAACTCCCATGACCCCTCAAGGACCCTAGTGAGGGTAAAGAGCTGGTCCCGTGTTCCACGGCCGGGACAGAACCCACATTTTCCTCAGATAGAGAACTTCACTAACTGGCTTTTATGTGAAAGTTCCTGTAAAGTCCCTGAGACAACTTTGTTGTGATTTGGTGCTTTATAAATAAACTGAGTTGAATTTTTCCTCCTGGATCTGAGGTTCAACTTAAAATAAATAATTTTAATCTGTTGGATGAAGTGCCACGTTCTCTGAAAGGACTTTGGTGGAGACATGAACATTCAGTTCACGGACATGAGTCAGCAGCCAACTGCACGCTCCATCAAACCTGCAGCACCTGTGGCCTCTTATTGTGGTCAGCCTAACGCTCACCTGTGCAATAATCCTGCTGTCTGATCAGCATCTTGATCTGCCTCACCTGTGAGGTGGAGGGATTATAACTAACATTACACACATCAGTGAACAATAAATACTTAAAAGGCTTTTTGAGTTCAGAGAAAGTCTCAGATCTTTTGAGTTCAGCTCATGAAAAATGGAGCAAGAACTAAAATGTTGTTTATTTTTCTTGTTTACATCGAGAGCAAAATGATCAGAACCAGAAACAGATTTTTATGAATCAAACAGCTGTTCACTCACAGGAAACAGGAAGTGTCTGTTCATTGCAGGGTTACCGTGTCCATCAATATAAAGTATCAAGACATGCCCATCTGTTTGTTTGTTTGTTTGTTTACCTCGCAGCTGAGACTTCCCAATGCTGAACTCTTCATTCAGTCCGATTCTCATCTCTGTGGGTCAGAAGACAGCGTGAGACACAGTCAGGTGGTGGTCGTCCAAACCCACAGCAGTGTCCTCAAGCATTAACGTGTTTGTTTTACCGTACGGTAAAAGAGCAGGAGTTAAAGGTTCTGGTTGTAATCTCACCTGAGCAGCTCGGCATGTAGCACTTCACTCTGATCTCTCCTTCCACGTCTGTCTTCATCACAACCCCCTGCAGCAGAAACCAGACGGGCCGTTATGGACAGACATGGACGTCCAACCAGTCCAACCAGCATCTGGACGCTTTAACAATTACTGGTCTGTGAGGTCTGAAAGAAGTGAAGCAGCCCCTGCACTCTTCTTCATGTTCCCTCCTGGTTGAAGTTCTCGACTCCTCACAGATTTGAGAAACGTGAACATGAACGTCTCCATCAGGAGCCGTGGGTTCTGGGTTTGGGTTCTGGGTTTGGGTTCTGTTTTTTGCATTTTTGATTCAATTCAATACAATAAACACATGTAAAAGGTAACAGATTATAAACTTTAGTTTGTTTACAGAATGATTTAATCGCTGGATGTCCGGCCCCGAGCTGTTGGCTTTTAGAAACCGTGCCCCCCCCCCCCCCCCAAACTTAAACAGGTCTCTCTGCTGCAGGACTGATGGTTCCTCTCAGAGGTCAGGGGTCACACATCAAAACCCCCCACTGACCTCCACTGTCAGAGATCAATAAACAGGACGTGAAGGCTCTTTTTAACTTCTCTTATCTCCTCCACCAAACCCTGTAGAACCATCAAACAGAACCTGTAGAACCATCAAACAGAACCTGTGGTATCATCAAACAGAACCTGTGGTACCATCAAACAGAACCTGTGGTACCATCAGAACCTTCTGCTGCTCACGGGTCAAGAACTTCTTCGATCCGATTTCTAGTTTTCACTCAGAGACTGATTGTCTGAGGCTCACTTTTTACTCTGTGCTTCTGCTCCCCAGAATAGTCAGGAATCACCATGGCAACGGGTGACTCAGCAGATTCTGGGTTGCTGACTCCGCCCCCACAGATTTGTTGAGTCATCCTGCGATCACTGAAGGTCCATGAGGAAGAGCAACCAGTAAAATTCCTAAACTGGTCCATCATAAACTGGTCCAACATAAACTGGTGCACCATGAACTGGTCCACCATGAACTGGTCCAACATAAACTGGTCCAACATAAACTGGTCCACCATGAACTGGTCCATCATAAACTGGTCCACCA